CCTCCTCCTTCTGCTCCTCCTCCTCCCCCTCCCCCTCCTCCTCCTCCTCCTCCTCCTCCTCCTCCTCGTCCTCCTCTTTCTCCTCCTGGTCCCCCGCAGACTGCCTCATCGTCCCCGGGGGCCCTGGCCTCCCCGTCTGCCTGCGAGGCGCGGGCCCCGCAGTTGTGCGGCCGCGCGCAGAGGGAGGGGGAGGCCCAGAGCCCTCGCGTTTTGAAAAAATCGCGACGGGAGGTTTTGTCACGATATTCGGCCTCTAGAGGAACTCGTCGGGCGTCGGGATCGTCAGAAAACGGTTCAGGAGGAAAATCTTGTCCCCTGGCAGGGGTCCAAACCTCTGAGGGGCACGTCATGTAAAAATCACAACGTCGGGGGTCTGGGCAGAGGGGGGCGAGGTGGAGGGTGAAGCAATGGCTAAACGTCTTCTTTTTCTTGTAGGTTATCCAAAGAAATGTGGCTCGCACGAATTGTTCCTAGAACATGTTTGGCTGGGACTGCTTGAGTTTGACACATCGTATTTCTATTCTAAGAACGTTGCTATTGTCGTCGTCTTTGTTAATATTGTTGTTGTTGTTGTTGTTGTTGTTGTTGCTGTTGTTGTTGTTGTTGTTAGTGTTGTTGTTGTTGATGTTGTTGCTCTTGTTGTTGTTGTTGTTGCTAGTGTTGATATTGTTCTGGTTGAACTTGATATTGTTGTTGATGTTGTTCTGAGATCATTCGCTGTTTCTAAGAACAGCTTGCGGTAGGCCCATAGGAATGATGGGGCGGTCGGTCCCTGTTCAAGGGAATGCTTCCGAGAAGCACCCCTGCTTCTCAGAAGGCGCGGGCGTGATTTATAGATGTAGGGCTGGCACCATCGCACGCGCCGCCAATGTGCGCTGACCACGCCGTGGTAAATCAGGTGGAGAACGGTGGTGAGCGCACGGCTTCAGTCCTCATGGGTCTTTCTCTGAGTGTCTCGGGCGGCTGGGGCCTCCAGGGTCCCAAAACCTTGCTGTGAGATCGTTGGGGATTCCGAGGTCACAGCAGAGTCTGCTACCGCACCGGTTCGCGACTCCGTGTCGTCAGGCTGGGTCAGAGGGGCATGCGACGGGAGTTGAGCCAATACCAATGATCCCCACTGGCCGACCCGGGTCTAGATTTCCCCATGGGCCCGCTTCTCAGTGGTAGCGTTGGAGCGTCGGCGGAAGAATCGGGATGGATGTGCGTGCACAGTTGTAGAAGACAGCTGGACTTTCACGATCGTGGCTCCAATGCGATCAGGATGGAGAACGGTTGCTTTCAGCTGAACGGGCGGTTTGCCAGCATACTTTTCACTTCTTGGCACAGGGATGTCGATACCCATGCGAGGGCCCGCCTCTCAGCGGCCGCGCAGGAGGATTTGCGAAAGGGTTCGCGTGGAGTATGCTGTTGTTGCTGCTGCTGCCGTTGTTGTTGCTGTTGTTGTTGTTGGTGTTGTTGTAAAGTTGTTGTTGATGTTGTTGCTGTTGTTGTTGTTGAACTCTCAGTTCTGAAAAATAATTATTGTTGATCCCCCCTCACCGGTACATAGTGTTCTTCTCGATCAGAGTGTGCCCCTTGACGCTCGCACCCTGTTTTTTGACAGGGGAAAGTCTTGGTGCTCAAATTGGGCCCCTGGCCCCCCGGATTACAACAACAACAACGGCTCCTGCCTGAGACTTCTTTCAAATTTACTCAGGACCCCCGCTCTTGAGACTGACTTCCTCACAATTTACTCCGGATCGGTGCTACCGCCTATGACTTCCATGCAATTTTGTCAGGACCCCCGTTCCCATCTGAGTCTTCCTCACAAATTACTCAGGGACGGCGCTCCCGCTTGAGACTTCCTCGCACTTGAATCAAGACTTCCTCGCAATTTAGTCAAGACCCCGTTCCCGCCAGAGAACCCTTCACATGTTATTCAGGAATTGCGCTCTCGCTTGTGACTTCCATTCGCTTTATTCAGGAATCGCGCTTTCGACGCTCAGGAAACACGCTGCGCCAAGGACGCCGCTAGAATTCACTTAGTGATCGCGGTCTCGCCATACTCAGGCATCCCGCTTGAATGTCCCACCCGCCTGGCCCGCCCGTCAGGGGATCGCCCGCCCGTCGTGGACTCCCGCCCGAGACTTCCTTCAGGAACGGCGCTTTCGCTTTGGACTTCCTCGAACGTTCACGCTTTTACCTTCCTGCTCCTCCTCCCCCTCCCTCCTCCCTCCTCCCTCCTCTCCTCCGTTCTCTCTCCCTCCTCTCTTCCCTCATCATTATGCCTCTCTGCCCTATCCCCTCTCCCTCCTCTCCCTGGCCCTGCACTGAGAAAATCAGGACGTCGCAGGTCTGGGCTCAGGAGGCGTGAGGCCCTCCGAGCAACCCTGCCGCCGTTCGTAACGGCTTGCTCCTGCTCCTTTCCCCCCCGGGCGCGCCGCCGAGTGGAGGTCCCTCCACCCCCTCCCCCCAGGACCGGCTTCGCATCCCGAGTTTCTTGCGGGACGCTCGTCGGTCGACTGCGCGTATACGAGTGACTCAGGAGGGGAAAAAACACACACAGACACAATGCATCGTCGATTCCCAGGAACATATGGAAAAAATATGGGAAAGTATGGGAAGTGGGGGGGAAGACAAAAACCCAGAATGTATGGGAAAGTAGGGGGAAGTATGTGATTTGTGTCTATTTACTTGTGTGTCCCAGGGTCCCTTCAGTGACCTGTCGCCGGAGTGACCTCTCGTGCGCGGCTTCGGGGGGGCGCTGCGATCGCGGCCGCCGCCGGGAAGCCGCGCGGCAAGGGGCACCTCCTGCCGGGGGTTGGGTCGGGCCTGCCCTCCTGCAGGCGGATGCTGGCAGAAGGACAGCACAGAAGCACAGAGTGCTGTGGATCCAAGACGCGAGGAGAGTCGAGTGGTCGTCTCTCACCACCCACCAAACCACCCCAACCCAACCCGAAGGCTCAAATTTACCATCGATTCCTAGTTCGGGGGGGTCGGGAAACCTCGAAAAAACACGCGTGGAACCCTTACCCCCCCCAACCCGAAAATCGGGTCTTCGGGTTGGGTTGGGGTGGTCTGGTAGGTAGTCAGTCTCAGGACCATGCTTTGACTGTGCCCGAGCACTCCTCCTGCAGGGGGGGCCTGCTCCGCGTGAGCCCGGGGCCGCTCCTGCGCGTGGGTCCGATCTCCCGGGCGGCCGCGCGCGGCCACGGGCCCTCCCGAATTCAGCTGCGCTCTTCGCTCCCCGGCGCCAGGGGGGCCTGGGCGCGGGGGTCCCAGACAATCGGGCGTCTCGACGAAGCTCGAGACGGAGGTGTTTCGCAGTTGTTGGCCTCTCGGGGCCCTCGCTGGGCCTCGGGGCCGTCAAAAGACGCCTGGGGGTGAAAAGCGGGCCCCTGGGACGCGGTCGGGAGGTCGGGGGCCCGTGTCTCAACAGAAGTCGAGACGTCGGCTGTCTGGGGTCGCAGGGTGAGCCCCTGGGGCGCGGTGCGGCCAGGATCTCGAGAGGCACCCAGCGGTGGCGGCGCGGGCGCCCCCAGGGGCTCGAAGAAGAGAGGCGGAGGCACCCCGGGCCAGAGTGCCCCCCCTGGATGGCGGACCCGAAGTTCCGAAGTTCCCGACCGCTCCCCTGGGGCCAGCTCTGCGCTTAGTGGGCCTTGGAAACGACAGGGCCGTTTTTTTACCGGTTCCGTTTTGCCGGTTTCTTTTGGCTGGTTCCGACGCCGTTTTCTTGCCGGTTCCGTCGCCGTTCTTTTACGGGTTCCCGCTCCGGTTCCAATCCTGGAGCAGTTTTTGTTGCCGTTTCCGGTCGCTGTTTTTTTGCCGTTTCCATTTTCAAAAGCAATTTTTCCGGAAACGGTGAAACAACGGCCCTGCCGTTTCCGGGGCCCATGGAGGGCGGGGCCAGTTCCGCGCCCCGGGTCGGGCATGTCCTTTTACAGGAGGAACAGCCAGACATGGTCCCCACGTGGTGTGGGGGCGATGCTTATGCAGTGTGTGGACTGGTGTGGGATCTGTTTTTGTTACTGTTTTTGAAGACCTCTTCCACAGTCCGCCTGTCGGGGGCACGCCCCGACCTGAGGCCAGCTCTGGGCCTCGCATCCGGGGCCACGGGCCCCAGAGGCCCACACCGAGGAGCATCGCTCGGTGGAGAGATCCTACCAATCGGCCCTGATTAGTAGGTCGACCCTGCCAAATCAAGGGTACCCTTTGTGGCCTGTGTCTCAGGACCCATGCTTCCTACCTTTCTGTGGGCTGTATCGTCGGAGATCTGGGTATCAGGGAACCACGTCCTCCCTCAAGCCTCGCAGTCGCCATTGTCGTCGGTTTTTGTTGGCGCGATGAGGAAACTCCCAGAGGCCTCGCTCGGCGCGCGGCCGACGTGAACCCGACTCAGGTCCGACGTGAATCCGACGCGGACCTGACGCAACTTGGGTCTCAGGTTACCGCGCGAGACCTACAGGTCGGGAGTTGCTGGAAGTGCCCCCTGCCCAGGGCGCCCCCGGGATTTCCAAGGAGGCCTCCGCAGAGCACTCGCAGCAGGTCCAGGGGGGCCTGGGAGCTCCAGCACTGGGCGACCAGCTGGGGGGCACCTTGGGCGCGGGGCACCTCTGGCAACCCGACTCCTCCTCCTCCTCCTCCTCCTCCTCCTCCTCCTCCAACTCCTCCTCCTTTTCCTCCTCCTCCTCCTCCTCCTCCTCCTCCTCCTCCTCATCCTCCTCATCCTCATCCTCCAACTCCTCCTCCCGACGACATAATTTGTTCATGACGTGCCCCTCAGAAGTCTGGACCCCTTCCCGGGGTCCGGTTTTTCGTCCCGAGTCGTTGTTTGACGGCCCCGAGGCCCAGGGAAGGGCCCCGGGGACGCCCAAAGCACGGACCACAACTCCCCGTCGCGATTCTCGCCACAGCGCGAGGGGCTCCGGGGACGAGGAGCACCCGAGGCACCCTGGACCAGGAGAGGCTCTCCTCGCAGCCGCCGGCGGCCCGCCGACGCTGCCGGCTGGGCTCCGCCCCCCGGCCGCGGTGCCCACCCCCGCGCCCCCGGGCGCAGCGCGCGGGCCAGCCGCCCGCCCCGCCGGCGCCCGGCCGGGGCGGCGCGGCGATGAGCACAGGCGGGGCTCCTGCTCGACCTCGCTCGATGCGATCTCCCCAGACCCCCTCGAGTTATGAAAAAATCACGACGGAGGGTTTTTCATTATTTTTGGCCTTTGGGGGCCCTTACCGGCCCTCGGGACCGTCAAAAAACGACTCAGGACGAAAAACCGGTCCCGGGGAATGGGTCGAGACCTCGGGGGGTCGACGTCATGAAAAAATCATGACGTCGGGGGTCTGGGTCGGTTGCGGGCGAGGCCTGTGCCCACACCCTCAGTGGGCCCCGGAAGCGGCAGGGCCGTTGTTTCACCGCTTCCGACAAAGGAGTGCCCCTTGAAAGTGGAAGCGGCAAAAAAAAAGCGGCGGCCGGAAGCGGCAACAAAAACGGCTCCAGGATTGGAACCGGAGCGGGAACCCGGAAAGAGCGGCGACGGAACCCGCAAAACAAAGGCGTCGGAAGAGGCAAAACAACTGCAAAACGGAACCGGTAAAAAAACGGCCTTGCCGTTTCCAGGGCCCACTAAGTCCACACCCACATCCATTGCAACGTGAAGTCGGGCATGTCCCTCTACAGGAGGCCTACTCAAGAGTAGTCAAAAGCTAGCCTGGGGGCGACGTTTGACAGTTGGGCTATGTTTGATGTTATGTTGCTTACCTGTCATTTAGTTCCTCTTCCTAAATCCGCCTGTAGGCGGACATGCCCGACCTAACTCCTGTTCGACTCTGCTCGGTGCGATCTCGATGCCGGGCAAGGCCTGTGCCCACATCCACTGCAGCTTGGAGTCTCGGGCTCCATCCCCCAGAACCAATGAAGAACAAACATCATACACACAAATTGTTGGCGCTCCGCGCGGATTTCTTGGATCCTCGCTGGGCCACCCTGGCGGCGCCTCCGGCGCCGCCCCTGGCGCGCTCCGCGCGCCGTGGGGGGGAGTCCAGCTCAGATCCCAGAAATCCGCGCGGGCCATCGAAAGTTTATGTGCATGACGTTTGTTCTTCCTATAGGCCAGGCCTATGCCCACATCCAATGCAGCTTGGAGTCTCGGGATCCATTCACCAGAAGCCGGAGGCGCACTGGAGAGGGACAAGAAGTTGTCCCCCAGAGGCTCGGCTGCTATCCAGTTATCCACTGCGCCTCGGCCTTGCGGCGCCCCTTTCAAGAAAGCCCAAGACGCACTGGATACGGATATAAACATTGCCCGCATCGATCGAATTCGATTCCGATTCGGTTCGACCTCGGACTCCGATGTAGCTTTCGGTTTCTCCATGGAGGCCTCCCTTTAGCTGGCCGATTTCCGCCGATTCGGCTCATACCGACAGGGCTGCCGATTCCCGCCGATCCGATTCGCTTTGATCGCCGATCCGACTTATCGATTCGATTCTGGGCTCTTCTGCACACATCTACGCGACCCCTCGATTCCTCGGGTTGGAACTCTGGTTGGGGCTATGGGGGTGTGTCTTCGGACTGACGTCCCCGCTGGAACTGAAACCCCCATATGGACGACGCAAGATAACGGGGCCGTCTTCACCAACGTTGGCGCACAAGCTGCCTGCGTGAGGTCGCGCGTAAGCGCCGTTGTTTCCGACGTGGCATGCCGCGCTGGCGGCCCGCGTCAAGCGCGGCGTAAGGTTGCTGTGCCATCTCGCGTAAGACCCATTTCGGATCGTCGTTCACATGGCCTTCATCTCTTTGCTCTTCCACGCCTCGCCTTGAGTCAGGCGTGTGCCTCTCCAGGAGGAATTTTTCCAAATAGTCAAACAATAGTATTGGGACGATGGTTTGACTATTTTCGGCTATTTTTGAATTCCCTGGGGTGGTGAATCTTCCATTTTCCAAAAACCGCCTGTAGGAGGACATGCCCGACCTAAGCCTGGCCTTCATATCCCGGCCCGGGCTGTACTCGTTCTGGAGTGCCCTCGTCGCCACGGGGTCGAGCGCCCGCCGCTTTCTCGCGGGCCCGCCCCCCTCGGTAGGAACAAGGACAGGCGACACCAACACCAACAGGGCGAGGAGATGCGCGGAGGCAAGGGGGGTCTCCCTGGTGGTGTGGTCCCCCCCTCTCGCTCGAGACATCCCCAGTCTCCCGCTCGGGGAGGCATTGTGGACCTCCTCGCTGGAGGTGGGCCCCCTGGTGGTGTTGGTATCGCTTCTCCTCCCTCCGACCTCGGGGGGTCGAAGACAGGGCCTCGGCGGGGCCGGAGGACGAGAGGACACCGACGCCGCTGCTCGTGTGGGAGTGCCCTCGTCGCCGCGGCCGGGTTCGCTTGGGGAGACTCCTGTCGGGCTCGCGCCCCAGGAGAGGTCTGGGGAAGAGCGGTTACGTTTGCATCTTCGGGGGGCCTCGACTCTCCCCGAAATGGGTGCCTTGCCGTGTGCCCGACGTGGGCTCGATGCGGACTCGGCGCGGCTGGGGCGTAGACTCGACGCGGGTTCGACACGGATTCGGCACGGATCCGGCGATGCCGACATGGATCGACCTGGCTTCGATGCGGATAGGGCCGCGACGGGACAGATTATCCCGGCAAAGCAACCTAACAGCGATGTGTAGAAGCATATTTGAAAGCATTCCCCTTAAGATTCAGATGAACATCCAGTTGTCGAATTCTGCTGTTCTCGCAGTCGTAGTCGCATTCGCGATGACAGTCGCAGCGGCAACGGCAGTCGCAGTCACAGCCTCAGCCTCAGCCTGCCTCAGCCTCAGCCTCAGCCTGCCTCAGCCTCAGCCTGCCTCAGCCTCAGCCTGCCTCACATCAGCCTGCTTCAGCCTCAGCCTCAGCCTGCCTCAGCCTCAGCCTCCTGCTTCAGCCTCAGCCTCAGTCTGCCTTCAGCCTCGGCCTCAGCCTCAGCCTGCCTCAGCCTCAGCCTGCCTCGGCCGCAGCATCAGCCTGCCTCAGCATTCAAAATGTGGCCCAGGATGGAGTTCTGGGAACTAGAAGAACACGAAGTGGCCTACAGTTGGCTCCGGGCATTCAAAATCATGCCCAGGAATGGAGTTCTGGGAACTTGAAGAGCACGAAGTGGCCTACAGTTGGCTCCGGGCATCCAAAATGTGGCCCGAGAATGGAGTTCTGGGAAATCGAAGAGCACGAAGTGGCCTACAGTTGGTTCCGGGCATCCAAAATGTTGCCCGGGAATGGAGTTCTGGGAAGTCGAAGAGCACGAAGTGGCCTACAGTTGGCTCCGGGCATCCAAAATGTGGCCCAGGAATGGAGTAGCGATTTTGCGAGGATGTCCCAAGCGATTTCGGCTTCGGCGGCAGCCGCGGCGGCATCCTGTCCGGGTCCCGCCCAGACCCCCCTGAGGAGTCATGATGCTCTCTTTTGAGACCACTAGAAACCTATCAGCAAGAGCTGTTAGGTAAAAAGGCTCTGAGGGTGCAGCTGCATAGTGGTATCGGCATGTGTTGTTCCCCCATCGTGGACCAACAGATACCGCCCCCGTCGGGTCCTTCGAGGAGCGACAGGTGACGGAAACATCAGCGCTCGGAGGTCCGCGCCGAGGTCTTGAATCCTTGCGTCGGCACAGGGCCTCCCTTCCTCGCGCGCGGAGCGAGCCAGGGGAAGCGCTGCAGGCGCCGCCGGGGTGACCCGGGGCGGAGCCAGGAACTCAGCGCGGCCCTCCGAAGGGTTCTGCTTCTATTCGGCGGCGAGAGAGGGGGGGAAATGAGAAGGAGGAGAAGGCCGACTTCTTGAGCGGGGCGTTAGTAGTCAAGAAATAGTCCGGGGACGATTTGTCTATCATGTTCCTAACATTTTGGAGTATGTTTGCATATGTTCAAGTGTGTTTCCAGAACCCGCATGTAGGAGGACGTGCCCGACCTAAAAACTATAGCGGAGGACCTGGGAGCCGAACGATTGCTCTCCCCACCCGTGGGTGGCGAGAGGGCCCCAGGGAACTTGGAGGAGGAGGAGGTCGAGTGGAAGGTCCCCAGAGAGCCCCAAAGGATCGGGAGGGAAAGAGAGCATCAGTGATTCGCCGCCGATATCGGAGTTCGCCAGCGTGTTACTCCTTCGCGACGGTGTCTCTTCAGCGGTGTTCGCGCTGTTTCGTCAGCTTGTTCCTCCTTTTTTCGTCGTTCGCGTTGTGTCCGAACGCCTGGTGCTTCTTCAGCGTCGGAGCCTCCGCGGCGGGATGTCATTGATGTTGGTTCTGCTCCGCAGAGAATGCTGGATGCCCGCCCTTCCCACCTGGGGGTTGGCGAGACGGCCTCGGGGACCCATCGGCCCTTGGGAATTCTTAGACGCTTCTGCAGGTTCGGGAGGCCTCGAGAAGCCTTCAGAAGCCAAACGACATTACGAAGAGCAACCCCCAGATTCCTTTCCCTCTCCCTCCTCCTCCTCCCTTAGAAGTCGGGCATGTCCCTCTACAGGAGGCATATTCAAAAGTAGTACTAGTCTGGGGACGATGTTTCGATTATGTCTGGACGTTTTGAGTTCTTGCTGATTTTCTTGTCTTCGTCCCTCCTCCCCTGCCTGCCTCCTCCCTCTCCCTCCACTCTCCCTCCTCCCTCCTCCCTCCTCCCTCCCTTTTCCTCCCACTCTCGTTCTCCCTCGTTCTCATCCTCCCTCCCGCCTCCTCCATCCTTCGTCCCCCCTCCTCCCTCCTCCCTCCCTCCCTCCCTCCTTCTCCGTTGTTCTAACCTGTCCTTCTTCTGTGTTCTTCTCCTTGTCCGACCTCCTCCTCTTCCTCCTGCTCCTCTCCCTCTCGCTCCTCATCTCTCCTCATCTCTCCTCCTCCTCTTTCCTCCTCTACAGGATGAATATTCAAGAATAGTTACACATAGCCGCAGGAAGTCATTCAGACCCCCCTTTCGGCAGAAGGATACAAGTTACCGCACCGGGAAGCGTTATCCTGGCCCCCCCCGTCAGCAGGATGATGTTGATGATGATGATGATGATCATGATGATGCTGCTGATGATGATGAAGATGATGCTGATGATGATGATGCTGATGATGATGATGATGATGCTGATTCTGATGATGCTGATGATGATGACGACGATGAGGAGGTTGATGATGATGATGAGGAGGAGGAGGAGCAGGAGGAGAAGGGGGAGGGAGGAGGAGGAGGAGGACACCTCTCTGAATCCGTGGAACTCCTACACATTGTCGAAACGAATGTCAAGGTCATTGCGTTCTTGCCGCCAGTCCTTATCACAGATGTCGGTCGCGGGAGGGATGAGGATCATTAGTTGTTTTTGCTGTTTGGCGCGGTGCTAAAGTTATCGTTCGGCTGAAAGTTCCCCTGGGATGTTATTAGTATCGGTGCGGTGATACTGAGAACTCTGCGGGGGGTCTTAATGATTTGCTAAGGTCAGTTTGGGGACGATGTTTGACAACTGTTGACTATGTTTGAGCATTGTGCGGCTACCTTCCATTTATCCTCCAGACTCCGCCAGGAGGAGGACATGCCCGACCTGACTGTCCTCCCCTCCTCCTCCTCCTACTCCTCCTCCTCCTCCTCCTCCTCCTCCTCCTCCTCCTCTCCTCCTCATTCCTCCTCCTCCTCCTCCTCCTCCTCCTCCTCCTCCTCCTCCTCCTCCTCCTCCTCCTCCTCCTCCTTCTCCTCCTCTTAGCGCAAGGCACCAGCGTAGGTGTTTTGAGGTTGAACCCCCTTATGCGGATGTCCTTGCCCTTGTCCTCCTCATCCCTCCCGCTCCTAGGGTCGGAGGAGGAGGTGGAGGGCGGAGGAGCGGTGGTCGCGCGCGTGGAAACCTGCCAGGCGGGCTGGCCGGCGGGCTGGGGGGCGTTGGCGGGCGCCCGCTGGTGCAGGCCCCTGGCGGTGCCCTCGCCCCGCGCGCGGCCACGGGCTCGGATTCGGTCGGGCACGTCCTCCTGTGGGCGGATTTTGGAGGAACCGTGCAACATGGCCACGGGCTGCTCGAAAAGAGCCAAGCGTCGTCCCCAGAGCACCTCTTGACTAGTTTCGAGATGCTTCCTGTAGAGGGACGTGCCGACATGCCCGACGGCTACATGTTCCCTTGCTTTCCAGCCTCGGCATACCCTCCGGCAGGTGCGGCTCGCCGAGAGCGCTCCAGGGGGCCCCGGGTCGTCTCCAGGACGGCCGCCGGAGAGCCAAGAGCTGTGGCCCGAAGGCCAGGGAGCGGCGGCGGCGTGGCGGGGAGCACTCCGCGAGGAAGGGGCCTGGGCTTCGCTGGGCCACCCAGAGGTGATGGGCTTGTTTTCCACCACCCCCACCATAAGTTGGAAGGGGAGGGGTTCCTCCTCCTCCTTCTCCTCCTCCTCCTCCTCCTCCTCCTCCTCCTCCTTCCCCCCTCCAACTTATGGTGGTGGTGGTGGTAGTGGAAAACAGGCCCATCATGAGGCCCAGCTCCCCGGCAGAAAGGAGGTTTTTGCTTGGGGGGGGTCCACGTGGGGGCCTCCGGGGCCCGCGGTGGATCTGGGGCGAACTGGACTCGGAGGAGGAAAAAGGTACCCATGCCGCTACCCATCCCTCGTTTTACCATTTTGGGGTCTCCGTCTCCTGAGGTGCCCTCGTCGCCACCGCTGGTTTCGCCTCGAAAGTGTGGTCCGAAGGCGCCCCGGGAGAGGTCCGGGGAGCAGCGGTATCGGTATACTTCTGGTCTCCCCACGAGCGGTCCCCCTTCCCGCAGAGGGCACCCGTGCACTGGAGCCAGTCGGGGGTCTGAGGGGGCTTGCCTTTAGTGGGCCCTGGAAAAGATGGGGCCGTTTTTTTTACCGATCCCGTTGTACCGTTGTGTTGCCGGTTTCGACGCCGTTCTTGTTTACCGGTTCCGTCGCCGTTTTTTAAACGGTTCCGGCTTTGGGTCCAATCTTGGAGCCGCTTTTGTTCCCGTTTCTTCGTGTCGCCGTGTTTTTGTCGTTTCCATGTTCACGAGGCACTTTTTCGGAAACGGTTTTTTAAACGGCCTTGCTGTTTCCGGGGCCCACTTTACGGGCCCACCGTGGACGCGTTAGTGGCGATGCAGGCAACGGCGATGCGGGTTTTCGGTGCTGCGGGTGGGGGCGATTCGTAAGTAACCCAATTATGTGAAAGGCCCGCTTGTGTCAAGTCGGGCATGTCTCTCTACGGGACGCGTGTATGATAACAGGCACTTGAAAGTTGTGAGGCGATGTTTCGACTATGTTTGTCAACTTTCGTTTTTTTTTGCATGCCTGGAATGTTCCGATATTTCCTTCAAGATCCGCCTGTAGCAGGGCATGTCCGACCTAGCGCAAACAAAATCATACTCAGCATCGCCGTCGACCAGCATCGCTGGCAGCGTGGACCCCTGGGCCCGCCCGCGGTCCTGGCCGGCAGGGAGGGGGGCGAGGCAGGCTCGAGGTGTTGGCCTCGACCCTGTGTCTGCCTCCGTCGGTCTCCGAGAGCCACTTCGGAGTGACAGATTGCGGAGCATCTTCGGGGCCGAGCGACTCGGCCCATCTCTGTCCAGGTCTCTGTCAACAGTGGTTTCCGCGGAGGCGAAGGCACGTCATAAAACATTCCGGCACCGAGCCCAGGGGTGAAGGGAGAAGGAGAAGGGCTTTTCACAAGGCTCGGAAGTCCCCCGGCCTTCTTCTTGGAGGTTTTCTGAGCCTCCCCCGAAGACATAACCAAAACACTTCTCAGAAGGCGCGAGGGTTTCTGAGAAGTCCCGCCGGCTTCTGAGACGACCTTCTCCTTCTCGCTTCCCCCCTCGCTCGCCGCCGAGCACTGCCTCGGGCAAGTACAGTCGGGGCCCTGAAGAAGGAGCCCTTTTGGTTGGGGAGGGGCTCCGCGTCCCTTAAGTGTTTCACAGCTTGCCTCAGGCTGTCCTCATGTTTTCGATCGGAAATCGAAGGTTAGCGTATGGGAAAAAGGGGCCTCGTTCCTTAGTTTGGGTTCCTTAGGTCAAGGCCCCGACTGTACTGCATGGCGGGGAACTGCCATTGGGTCAGCGCGTCGACGTGGAGGAGGAGGAGGAGGAGGAGGAGGAGGAGGAGGAGGGCACCTGCGGCGCCGCAGCGCCCGGCGCCCCCGAGGGGCGCTGCGCCCCCGCATCGGCGGGCCCGAGGGCCCCGACGGCGCGCAGGGCGCACCGGGACCCCTCCTCCTCCTCCTCCTCCTCCTCCTCCTCCTCCTCCTCCTCCTCCTCCTCCTCCTCCTCCTCCTCCTCCTCCTCCTCCTCCTCCTCCTCCTCCTCCTCCTCCTCCTCCTCCTCCCTCCTCCCCTCCCCCTCCTCCTCCTCCTCCTCCTCCTCCTCCTCCTCCTCCTCTCCTCCTCCTCCTCCTCCTCCTCCTCCTCCTCCTCCTCCTCCTCCTCCTCCTCCTCCTCCTCCTCCTCCTCCTCCTCCTCCCCCTCCCCCCCCTCCTCCACCTCCTCCTCGGAGCCCGCGCGCGGCAGCCGCCGCGGGCGCCGCGGGAGGCGCGCGGGAGGCGCGAGGGGGCCGCGCTGCCCAGCGGGCAGCGGGGGGCGCGCGGCGCGGCCCGAGGGAGGGGCCGCGCGGCAGCGCCTGTGAAAAAATCACGACGGGAGGTGTTCCACCATTTTCGGCCTCCCCGGGGCCTCCCCCCGGGCCTCGGGGCCGTCGAACCACGATTCGGGACGAAGAACGGGTCTGGTGGCGGGGGTCAAGCCTTCTGAGGGGCACGTCATGCAAGAATCACGGCGTCGGGGGTCTGGGATCACGCCGTCATGAACCCGCCCCGCAGGCTGCCTCCCGGCTCTCTCGGGAACACGGGCTCGAGATCAGCGTGGGATCTCCAGTGGCACGCACGGCTGAGGCATCACGATCCGCTGGTTACGTCTGGACTCGCAGCACGCCCAGGGCTTGAGCGCCGTCGCTCCCTCCCGCTATCCGTGTCGCACATGTGGGGCACCGGGAAAGGACGATACCAGAATGAGGGGCATGGCGACTTAACACGTTGGCATTCGCAGGGGCGAGAAGCACCATGTAAGCATAGCAGAGGCGTACCCACGAACGCCCTGGTGCCGCTCCACGCCTCACCCTGCTGTAAAGACGTCGCTGTCCTGGCGGAACGACCAAAAAGAGAGGACGGAGAGCCACTCGATGTTGTAATTGAGAGCCTCTCGTCCAGTTGACAAAATCCTGGACCTTGGCCCTGGGGGTGTAGGCTGGGAAGCCAGCCACGCCTCTTACGGCAGGGTGCTGGGCGCATTGTGCACATTATGCACCGCACGTTGCTGCTGGTCGCCGCCACCGGGATTCCGCCAACATGGATTGGAAATTTCGGCCGCGATGAGTTCCTCTATGCCTGGTAGAGGTGGCAGTACTGGGGTGGAACACTGCACCAGATGGACCCCAGGAGGGGTCCGGGGAGCGATTCCGAGTGGGTTTGCCCGCACCCCCTCTTGACACACTCTGCCGAGGTCCATCCAGTTCAGGGCCCCCCAGCCGCCCACAGCCCGTGCAGAGTCGTGTCCGACCTGGTCGAGTCGATTCGACATCGATGCTGGTTGGCCCGATCCGATTCGGCTTCGATCTGCTCGCGCGCCACCCTGCAGTGGACGATCTGGCGAGCGCAAGAAGATCAGGGGCAACGGTAGGGGGGGATAGGCCCCCAATCGCCCGTTGATCGCCGATAGGCGCCCGATAGCCCCAACGTGCGCAGGAAGGTGCGGACTCGCTACCGGGGGCCTATCGCCGACCTATCGGCGATGTATCGCCGATTCCAGGTCGGTGCATCCCCCCCTGTGCCCATCCCCCCCGATCGTTGCCCCTCAGGAGAAGGGCCGCGCCTGGGCGGGAGTTCGATCAGAGGTAGTATAGACGTGGGCGAGGCGTCGAGGCGATGGCGACCTTTCGCTCTCTCGCGCCATGCCCCACTGCTGTCCCGCAGCTCGCATGCAGTAGGGCATGTCCCTCTACAGGAGGAACATTCAAAACTATTTAACAGAAATGTCGGGGGTCGATCTTTTAAATATTTGTTTGACTAGGTATTTCAAATGTTTCGCCCCGAATCCGCCTGTCGGGGGACAGGCCCGACCTGACATGAAGTCGGGCGTGCCCCTCCGCAGGAGGACGATCCGAACATAGTCAAAACATAGTCATATATCTTGGGGACGACGCCTCTATCATTCCTGACTGCTTACAGCTATTTGTTTGCCTTTCTTCCTCTGGTCTCCCAAAACCCGCCCGTAGGGGGACGTGCCCGCCCGTGGGAGGACCTGCGCGTCCCGGACGGGCCCGCCATCGGCTCGCCCGGTGGCAGCGTGGGAGTGCAGTTATATCAGGAGGAAAAGAAACACACAGACACAATTAATCGTCAATTCCCCAGAAAATATGGGAAACTATGGGAAGTGGTGGGGAAGACAAAAACCCATAAAATATGAGAAAATATAGGGCATCATTTTATTTGTGTGTATTTATTTGTGTGTCCTGGGGCCCCTTCATTATAGCAATCCCGACTAAGGATCGCAAGGGGATGGGCATGAGGCGAGTGGTGTCGGCCAGCATTTGGGCGCACGGTGCGCTCGCGCGGGTGGCCGTACAATTGATCGGGGCTGGACAGACCTCCTACCCTGACACGTCGACTGGTGAATCGGCCGTTTTCGGTCCGCGGGAGGGCGTTGCTGTCACAGTTTGTGGGTCCAGGTCCATCGGTTTCGGCCCCGGGCCGTTTTCTTTAAGGGGAGGTCTACTAAAGGGAGGTTTGTCCAGCGCCGAATTGATGAAATCCAGTTCCGCTGCCGCGCGATTCCGCCAACGCGCTTGGTCAGGCGGGGGCGGGGCGGGGGGCGCTTTGGGTGCAAGGGGGGGGGGCCGGGTGATGTTCCACTGGACGCGGCTAAACGCATCGTAGGTTCGATGTGTCAGGGGGGCCTAATTTTTTGGATCCGCAAGAAGCGAAATGACGAACACACACACACACAAAATAACATGCCTGGCACACACCAACCGCTCCAAACGCGGTGGCGGATACGGAAAGTGAATATGGCCTTGGGGTGTCAAGAGGAACAAATAAAAGCGCTTCTGCGCTTCGAGCTCACAGCCTTGTAGGGCCGTGGGGTCAAACGCAACCGGGGATGTAAGACAAGTCCAGTGGACGGGGTCGAGGGTTTCGCGGACCTCGTGTTGAAACAACATGACATCCCAGATTTGGATTCCGGACCATCACGGGCAGACCCAGCTTGAGAGGCCTGGCAGAAGATGTGGCCGATGCCCTCGGCCGTGCTTGTCGCGACGATGGTGGTCGCTGTTCACGCGACGTCGGATCTTGGGGGGCTTCGCTACATCAATACATATATATATATATACATATATATATATGAAACCGAGAGCGTTCGTTTGCAATCCCCCCCCACCCCCAGGCGAAGAACGTCTGATCTGGGGGCTCGCATTTCGAACAGTGCTCGGTGTTCGGGCAGGCGGCCGTGGTCGCAGGGCTCGGCCGCCGGTGACCCGCGGGGGGCGCGAGTATTGCTGCGTGTCGCGAGTCGCGGGGGCGCGGCGTGCGAAGGCCCCTAAGACCCCCGACGACGTGATTGTGTCTTGACGTGCCGATCAGAAGTCTGGACCCTCCTCCTCCTCCTCCTCCTCCTCCTCCTCCTCCTCCTCCTCCTCCTCCTCCTCCTCCTCCTCCAGGGGACAAGTTTTTCATTCAGAGGGCGCGAATACTGTCGCGTGTCGCGAATGGCGGGGGGGCGCGACGTGCGAAGTTCCCTAAGACCCCCGACGTCGTGATCGTGTCTTGACGTGCCCACCGGAAGTCTGGGCCCCTTCCAGGGGACAAGTCCTGCATCCAGAGAGTCGCTGGTTGACGGTCCCGGGGCGGGCCCCGGGAGGCCGAAGGTAGCGAACGGCATCCCGTCGCGACTTGTTCAAAAAAGCGCGAGGAAGTCTGGGTGAACGGACCTGTAGTTCCCTTGGCCGACCAGGGCCGCTCTGATCGATGACAGACCCCGTGGGGTTCTTCGTGGGGCGTGTGCGCCCCTCTGGCGCAGGCGGCGGAGGTGCGAGACGCCGCGAGCAGCGCCGCCTCCGACGCCGACGCCGACGCCAGGGACACCGAGGGGTTCGATCCGGCAGCAAATCATGGGGTCGAGGTAGATGGGGTCGGTGGATCGATCGCGCCGCATCGCCGATGCACCCGCGATGCGGCTCGATGTGGAGCCCCATCTTCTTCACGCCGATGCGTCGCCGACTTCGCCGATGCATCGGCGATGCGGCACGAGCCTTCGGCCCCATCTGCTCTGGCCCCGCCTGGGCGGCCTCCATTTTGGACGGTGTGCTGTGTTTTTGGGAGGTTCTGGGGGTTGTGGTCTGGTTCGGTGGCAAGTCATGGGAGATTGGTGTACCCTCTTGATTCCGTCTTTAGCGTCGACTCGCGACGATTCGCGCCTGGGAGTCGATGAGATAGCGCCGATTTAGTGCCGGCTAGCGTCGATTAGCGTCGATGTAGCGTCGGTTGGCGTCGGCTAGCGCCGATTGGCGTTGGTTAACCGTCGGTTCGCGCCGATTCGCAAGAGCCGACAAGATGGCATGGGAGGCTCCCATGAGTTGCCACCGAAGGTTCGAGGAGGCGAAGCAGCGCGCGAGCACCCCGGGCAAGAGGCTGGGCTACGCGTCCGCGTTCTCGGGCGCGGCGGTGCTGGCGACCGCAGAAGAAACGATGGTGGAAAGGAATGCTTTCGGAGTTCCACGCGGATTTCTTGGGTCGGCGCTGCCCCCCCCCCCCCTCCTCCTCCCCCTCCTCCCCTCCTCCTCCTCCTCCTCCTCCTCCTCCTCCTCCTCCTCCTCCTCCTCCTCCTCTCCCCCCTCCTCCTCCCCCCTCCTCCTCCTCCTCCTCCTCCTCCTCCTCCTCCTCCTCCTCCTCCTCCTCCTCCTCCTCCTCCTCCTCCTCCTCCTCCTCGGGCGCCGCCCATGTGCGCGCTCCGCGCGCCATGGAGGGGGGTCCAGCGCCGAGCCAGGAAGTCTTCCTGCGGATCTCCGAAAGTTTGCGCTTGTGCGGCTGTCCCAGAGGCGAACACGCTGTTGGGGGGCTCCGGGATGCTGGGGATCCCGCACGCCCTGGCCAGGTCGGGCTGGCTGCTCGGGTGCGTGCTGGTGGTGCTGTTCGGCTGTGCCTCCGCATTCGGTTCTCGTCGGGGCCTCGAACAGCACGGCGAAGTAGAAGCGGCGTTGGAACTGGCCAGTCCGCTCTTCCTGGCCCTGGCCAGTTTCCCATCGGTCGTTGAAAGCAGGTACTTCTGGACTCCCATGTCCCAATACACCTCAGACGGCCTCCTACTTCAAGAGTCTACAGGTGTTCCCTCTTCTCTTCAGGTGTCGGGCGGAAGCCCAATCTACTTTAAATGTTTTCCTGCCTCATGTCTCTACCCACTTCTTCTGACCGACGGGTATCCTACAAAGTACCCTATTTCTGACCAGTGTTGCATCGCAGTCGTCCGTATTATTGCGAAGGCCTTGAGGCCGGTTCTGGCGACCTTGAAGGTGAACGACGACATTGTTGGCGACGACGACGACGACGCTGACGTGGACCAGAGTCCTCACGGATGCTTCTTGGGGTCTTTTCGAAGCGCTCTTGGGCTCAGTGGGCCCTGGAAACGACAGAGCCGTTTTTTTACCGGTTCCGTTTTGCCGTTGTTTTGCCGGTTCCGACGCTGTTTTTTTACCGGTTCCGTCGCCGTTTTTTTACCGGTTCTGGCTCCGGTTCCAATCCTGGAGCCGTGTTTTTTGCCGTTTCCGGTCGCCGTTCTTTTGCCGTTTCCATTTTCAAGGGACACTTTTTTGGAAACGGTGAAACACGGCCTTGCCGTTTCCGGGGCCCACCAAAGCTCTCGGGGCCTCTGGGGGACAGTTTAGGAATCTCTTGGGGGCCTATTGGGGGCCTCTCGGGGCTTTCTGGGGGCCTCTTGGGGGCCTCTCGGGGCCTCTTGGGGGCCTCTTGGGGGCCTCTTGGTTCCTGATCTGGGCATCCTTTTGGAGCCGCCTTGGGGGCCGCTTGGGCTGTCTTGGAGGCGTCTTGGGCAGCCTTGGGGCCCTCTCGGGCCGTCTTGGGGCGATCTGGGGGCCCTCTTGGGCCGTCTTGGAGCGTCGGGCGTCGGGAAGCGGAAGAGGCGAGACGCCGAAATACTTCATAAACCAATAAGTCAATGATTTTTCCTCTTGGGGCTCTCTTGGGAGTGCTCCTGGAGGCCTCTTGGGGCGTCTTGCAGAGCTCTTGGGCCATCTGGAGGCCGTCAAGGCGTATTGGACAGATCGTTCGGCGATTCGGTGCCCTCTTGGACGGCCTCGGGGGCCTCTTGGGGCACTCCTGACCCGTCTTGGAGTTTTTTGGGGCCACGGGACTCCCTGGAGGAGAGTCGCATCTGACTTGGGACCCCCCCCGGGACCCCCCCTCCTCGTGGCGGGGGAGGGACTGAAGGGAAGGGGCTTCCCTTCGAGTCAATCGCGACGTGGCTCAATTTCGCAACAGAGTCGACAGAGACGACGACTAACGAATGACGTAGACGACGACTCGAACGGACAAGCCCCTCACACACGCCGACAGGGTCGGCGGATTTCAAGCAAGCTCTGGCCAGTTGCCCAGCCCTGGCCGAAGGAGAACAAACTGCAGAACCGTAAGCTTCCCGAGGTTCGCGCGGCTCTCTTGGATCGGCGCTGGACCCCCCATGGCCGGCGCCGGAGACGCCGCCAGCGGGACCCAGCGCCGATCCAAGAAGTCCTCGCCTCCTCCTCCTCCTCCTCCTCCTCCTCCTCCTCCTCCTCCTCTTCCTCCTCCTGCGACGTCGGAGGGCCAGCGCACAATGCGTCCCGATGCCCTGCAGGTGCACCTCTGCGGTTCGTGACGAGCGTTCGGGAGGGAGAGACAGAATGTCAATGACACGCTGCCGTTCCCTGAGGTCCCGTCGTGGCATGTTCTTCCCGCAGGGAGTTGTCGTTGCTGTATTGGTCGGTTCGACTTGTAGCACTTGCGACAGCTGCAAGGTAGTTGCACCACTTGCAGGGCGCCTGCAGGTGGGTTGCCGGTCCGCCGAACTGCTCTAAGTCTGAAGAAGTCTCGGACCCAACTTGGAGCAGCTAGGCGGATTGGCAGCCCGTTTGCAAGTGTCTTGCAAGAGGGTTGCAACTCTCTGGCAACTGTTGCAAGTCAATCGCGATCAGTGCAGTGGGTTTCGGGCCCTGGGACTCTCACAGGTCGATCCAGCCAGACAAATGAAGCATCAAGACGGGATCCAAGGCTCTGGTCGTGATTGGTTGAAATGCTGCATTTTTTTTTCGCGACGTCAGATCTCAGTGTCGGGAGCTCGCCCGTCAGCGTGTTATTCTGCCGTCGTCTCTCGAAAGCCTGGTACCTCTCCGGCAGTGAAAGCGCTCATGGGTTTCCCACAGCGGCATGTCATGGATATTGGCTTTACTCCCCCAAGCGCGCCCCCCCCCTTCACCCGACTATTGACCCTGCTCCCCCAATCGTGCCCCCCCCCCCTCTCGACGAGGATCATGCGGGCAATTTTCATGTTCATATCAACTACGTCTTTGATTTCCTGAGTAGGGTTAGTCGGGTTAAGTATGGCATGTCCCTCTACAGGATGAACATTGCAAAATCGTTGAAAAACAGCTTTGTGGTGACTTACCATGTTTTGTTCCAATTACTCCAAACATAGATTGGCAATAATGTTATGGATAGTGGCTCGACGAACGTACGATGCACGCGGTTGGAAAACACGATGCGCCGCGTGGCGCCACCATTATTTGTTTCGCCACAGTTGGTGTCGGCAACGCGCGCTGTCTCATTTAGCAGATGCGCGTGTTCATGTCCATGTGGTTTGCGCAACGTGCACAATGAGGGTTGGCCGCGCGCTATCATCGTGGACTGGATGGCGTGGCGCTGCGATTGTATGGTCTGGATATTGCTACGTTCATCCACAGAATCCGCCCGATCAGTCTTTGTGGCCGCTGACATTCAAGATCGCGTTGCAAAACTCCACTCCCCCCCCCTCCTTAAACCCCCTCGCTCCTGCCCGCTATCCGTGTGCATCGTCCCCACCCAACCCCTTCTCAATAAGGGTGGCGCGCTTGAGCCAGCGCTTCCCGCGTTCGGCCACTCGGTTTCTTCGGGCAATCACGCGGGGTATACTGCGCGAGGGACACCCTGGACGGGACAAAGCGTTACCCCTTCGATGCCATCATCGAGTAGATATGAAGTGAGTAGGAGTTGGCATGGAACGCGGTAGGTGTGAATTGGAGGTTGTCCGCGAGTCAGCTTGACTGCAAATGGGCGCGCGATAAAATTAAAACCGGTTCCGAGCAGGGCAGAGATGGAGTCGGCGAAGACATGTCACATATACAAAATCACCAGTTCTCAAATAAAAAAGAAGAAGGGCCTTCATGTGCCGCTATAGCGGGGTAGAGCATATCATAATACAAGTAGGCATTCGGCTGGGCAAAGAAAAATTGCGGCTACATGTGCAGACTTGCGAATACATCTACAGCCGCGACTATTTTACCTGCGTCGCGCGGACCACGCGGAGCCGAGCATGGGCGCGTTCGACCAGGGCGGAGCAATCTACCTTCTCGCATCCGTGCGCGCGTCTATATACATATACTCGCGCGCGCAGGTCGGTGGGCCCAGCCTGCGGCGCGACCCAATCGTCGCTGGCAGCGTCGGGGCGCCCAGAGCGCGGACGGGCACCGTCGCCGGCGCAGCAGCGGCACCTCGAATACCCAGAGCGAGTGTCCGACATGCAGCGCGAGCCAAGAGAATACTCCAGCGCGGGACGCTGCGCTGTCGCCGACAGCGCACGATGCGCCACTGGAGGATCCCAAGCAAAAGGCGCGCAACGTGCTCCAATAGTACATCCTGCAGAGTTTAGATACAAAATAACCCCCGCATGTTTTCAATATTAGAACGCACTCTAAAATACCCCCGCCGATTTCACACGCTCTGAAAATATTCCTTCTCTGTTCGAAGTTTACATCAGAATACCCCAAACACGCTCCATCGCCATTTGCGACATGCCATTGGATTTTGAAGATACTCCAGTGCCATCTGCGCAAATTCAAAATACTGCAAAAAGGCTCCAGTGCCATCTGCGCAATTTCAGAACACGCCAAAGACATGCCACGGCCATTTGCGAATTTCCGAAATAGTCAACAGGTGCGCAATGTTTGAGAATACGCCAAAGATGTTCCCCTGCCTTTAGCGAAGCTTTAATATGCTCCAGATCTGCCCCCGCGGCGACCTCTGAGATGCAAAAAAGTCGCAGGAGACGCTCGCCGGCCATTTGCGAAACATTAAGAACCCCAGGGCGCAGCGCGTTACCATCTTCGACAGTTCCAAGTCTTCCAGGAGATGCCACCGTGTGTTTTCTGGAAAGCACTGCCTCGAGGTGGGCCCCGTGGCCATTCTTCGAGAACGCGAAAAGCTCGCAGCAATGCCCCGCACCTCCACCCCACCCCTTCCTCCACCGTGTGATGCAAGTAGTGGGCTCGGTAGCGGTTCAGATGCCATGCGTCTGGGTTGCAAAGCTCGCGACGCGCACTGCTGATGCTGTGCCCACGTTGGCTGAACAGCGTGCCGCTACGTTGCCGAGCGCATGTCGTTCCGCGCCGCAGAAGCGTCGCGGCCTCATTCTGCGTGCCTGATCCCGCTGGGGGACTGGCTCTCAACGCGCGCGCGCGCATCAAACATGCGATGCGTCCTATGCACGCTTCGCGACTTCCAGACGGAAAAAAGGCTGAGATTGTTGCGTCCATTATTGGATACAGTTGTCCCGCGCACCTGCCGCCATCGTTTTAAACGACAAGCATTTGCTAATTGAAACGGGGGGGGGGGGCGCGGGGATGGGGGGGCCGGCCGATCGCTCGATCGGAAGATGTTTCGATCGACCGGCCAACAAAAAGGACGAGCTTGCGGCGTTCCGCCAGCCCCCGCAAAATTGTATTGTTATGTTGCGGAGCGTCTAGCTTGCCATTTGCGCGCGTTGCGATCAGAGTTTGTTTTTGGATTGTCTACACGTTTGGATTGGCTGTTCCTGATGGCCCCCCCGCGCGCCCTCAGGGCACATGCTGCGTTTGTCGCTTGTCTTCGAGGTGGGCCCGGCGGCAAGAATCCGCGTGGAGTCGGCTGAATGC